AATCCTGCGTGGGCTTTAATCGAATATATATTTAGTACTTTACCTTGTTTGTTTAGTTCAGAGATGTTATTTCTTATCTCCACTGCCAGGGGATGGAGGGAAACGTCTTGAACAATTGTTTGTAGAGCAAACCTCGAGTCACTGTATATGCTGCAGTTTTGTGCTGGAGCCGTCAGTGCATATGTAGTTGCTTCCAGGATTGCCAGCAACTCTGCCTGGTAGACGGTGCAAAAATTTTCCAATTTCAGTTTTCGGGTATTTGTCTCCGCAGCGTTATTCCATATGGATAACGCCGCGCCGACTTTCCCCTCTATCCTACTCCCGTCTGTAAATATTTTAAGACCCTTGTTGTCATTTTGGTCCATTTGTGCACCGTCTTCCAGGCATGTGAATTTCAATCCGGGCTGTTTCGCGGGATGTGTAGTCTTGGAATATTCAATTTTGGTCTCTACATCTCGGTCACCCACTATCCGCCGAGAGAAGCCCTTCTTTATTTCATAAAGGAGGGCTGCTTCCTGGACCCTTAGGTCCAACGGAAGTAACTCGGCGAGTAGTAGGGCCGAGTGTAGAGAAACTGTCCTATAAGATTTTATAACTTTTTGCACAAACCCGCGCTGCACCATATCAAGTTGTTTCTTTACTCTATGTTTATTGGCTGCTGATGCCCATGCACTGGCCGCATACATGACTATCGGCTCAATTACTGCAATATAGATGGTCCTAATGATCTCCGGGTTCAGGCCCCAATGTATCTTTGCAGCTCTCGACAGTTGACGATATATGTTCTGAACTTTACAACATGTTCTATTGATGTGTGTATTAAAGGTAAGCTTGTCGTCAACTGTGAGGCCGAGTATTTTGATTTCTTTGGAGAGTTCAATGTCCTCCCCGCCCATCTCCAGAAGTGGTGAGTCATACTTGAGCTTATTTGTTACGACCATGGCTTTTGTTTTGTGTGGTGCAAAATTAAGCTTATTCCCGACTCCCCACCTCCGGACATGTTCGAGAATTTCATTGGCCTGCTCCTGCACCTGTTGTGCCGTATCCCCGGAGAACATCAGGATCACATCGTCCGCGAAAGCCTAGCAATGGAACCCTTTTACACTCAACTCCCTCAGGAGTGGATCCAGAAGAATATTCCAAAAAATTGGACCTTCGATCGAGCCTTGCACACACCCTTTATTGGTCTTTCTTACATATTCGGCCCCGGCATATCTGAGGCACACCGTTCTATCTTTAAGATAGCTATCTACCACCCACCTCAGATTTACCGGACACTCAATCTCCGCGAGTCTACACCGTATCGCCGGCCACCATGCATTATCGAAGGCTCCCTCTATGTCTAATCATATAAGCAGAATCAACTTTCTGTCTTTCAGTTTGGTCTTTGTAAACTGCATCATGTCATAGAGGGAGTCCTCGGTGCTGCGTTGTGGCATAAACCCGTATTGATTCCGGCTTATCTTCGATACGATGTGCCACTTTATTCTGCGGATTAACATTTTTTCATAAATTTTCCCCAGTACAGGCAATAGCCCAATCGGCCTGTAAGATTTAGGGTGTGCGTAATTTTCTTTGCCAGGTTTTCTCAATACTACAACTGCTGCCTTCTTCCACTTGATGGGGAAGTATGCAAGACTGAGGCATCTGTTTACTAGTGCCAGAAACAATGCTAAATCCAAGGTGACGGCCATTTCACAAATGTCTGCTGTTAAACCATCGTCACCGGGTGCCTTTTTTGCACTGAAGCTAGACACGGCCCACATAAGCTCTTCTGTTGTAAATGGTGGGTAACATGGACTATCATGTGACCCTTCGTTTACAGTTTCCGCTGTAGCTCTTGTTTGCGTGTGTTCCGTGTCGTCGTCTTCAGTGCTATCCTGTGGATAAAAGGTTTCCGCCAGTATCCTAGCCGATTCCTCTCCGTCTAGCGTCTTCCCGTCCTGAATAAGTGGGGTATCTTCTTGCCGTGTCAATGTGCGGCTTATTACCCCATATATACCGTCCCACATTGTTTCTCGGTCCTGCTTACAACAGAAGTCCTTCCAGCTGGTGGTCTGAGCTCTTTTTACTTCTTGTTGGTATTCTTCTTTTGCTCTTTTATATTGCTCGACCACCCACCCGCGATGGACTGGCGCTGCGTATGAAATACGCCGCTTCAACCTGGAGACCTCCTTTTTACGTTGTGTCAGTTCGTGGGTCCACCAGGGCAGTCCCATTTGTTTTTTAGTTTTTAATTTTGGAATACTACTTTTACATGCTTCTGTTACTGAATTTGTATACTGTTCTATTTTTATTTCTAATTCGTCCGTTGTTGCTATTTTATCTATTTCTTCTTTATTTATTCTTTTCTCATTCCAAATTTGGACGAGTGTCTCACGAAACTCGCCCCAATCCGCCTTTTTCGTGTTATATTGCCTAGTACTTCTTTTTATATTGGTGCCTGTTGATTTTCCTAAATTGATGTCAAATAGGATTGCCCTGTGGTCCGAACTGGTTATTTCGTCGGATAGTCTCCAGTTGTCCATCCTACCGAGTAGACTAGTCGAGCAAGTAGTTATATCCACGCAGCTGGAGAACCTCTTTCTACCTGTATATGTGTCAAAAGTGGGCTCAGTCCCCCTGTTCAAAATATGGAGTTCTAATTGATCAAGCTTTGCGGCGACCTCTATTCCTCTGCTGTCTGTTTCCCGGCTTCCACCACGGCCGCATCTATCATTTCTAGATGAGGTTCGATTGGTGAGTCACCCTCTAGGTAGACGGAAACCACCCCCAAGTCCCATGCCCCGGTGCTCAGCTTAGCGACTGCGATATTCTCTGTTGTTATGCCGGGGCATTGGGTCATGTCGATGGCGTCATTGAATAGCACAATAGCTGCCTTAATCACTTTTTCAGTGTTCTGGCTTCTGTCGCCTTGTGCTATTCGCGTCCCCGAGTAACTCTTCATTTGAACAATTCGACCGATATAGGGCTCTTGAACCAGAGCGAAAGATATCCCTCGCTTGGTCGCCTCTGTTATTAATTCGGCCGTGGCTAGTTCGCACCTTTGAAGATTCGTCTGGATCGCGCGATATCGGTGGGTACAGATGTTAGGTTCCATAGTCGAGTTTGAGTGAACTTTAGCAGTATGCTACGGTCGACCTGGCGAGTACTTCCCACTTTCTTCTTACCGGGCAATCTGAGCTAAATGCGTTGTGATCTTTTCTGTCATGGTTTGCTTTGGTACAATTTCTACATTCTGGTGCTCCTCCAGACAGCCAATCAGCACATTCTGTTTTGAGGTGTGGGCCTCCGCAATGGCTACAGACGTCAGTTGTTTCCGTACATATGCGTTTACTATGTCCATATTCCAGACAACGCGAACATTGAACTAAGGGGGACTGGTCCATCACTCTTACTCGTTGTAAGTCAATGTGAATGACCTCAGCCTCGGTAAGACGGTTCCAAATATGAAGCGAAACTCTCATTACAATGTGGGAGGTATGCGGGTTTCTTGTTCTTTTCCGGTATTTGATCTCCATTCGACCCTCTTTTTCTGTTATTTCCTTGAAGAGCTGTTTATTTTGCGTTCTTATTGCCTTTATTATCTCTTCATCCTTATTATACTGCATAACGTCTCTCAAAATCACAAGTGGATCCTTGTTTTTTATGTCGTTTACATTTAGATTTTTCCCTGCCTGCTTTAATCTCTCCTTGACTCTATTTATCTCCTTCTCAGTTCGGCATCCCAATATTACTTTGCTATCCCTTGCCTTCCTAATTTTATCTATTTTTAACCCTTCTTCCTTGGCATTTAAATTTAAAAGCAAATGTCTCACGTGAATCTGAAAGTCTAACTCAAAGGCATGCAAGATTTATGCATGAGACTTTAGGCCAGTACGCTCTACTGAAAGAAAGCATAGAGAAGCTTCAAAAGGAAACCGAGTCCACAAGACTTATAGTTTCGTATTATCTTTGTGAAGCAATGACTGCAACAAGGCGAGAGATAACAAATATACGGAGCGACACAAACTTGGACTCTAACCTTGCAAATCAGCTGCGAACTATTTCGGAAGAAATAAAGCAACTGCGAGGAGACATGATGTCTTCACACAAGCCGGTCACTCAAGAAGAGCGACAGTTCCCTATTGCCGAGGAACTAGGAGAGCTTCGGCGAATTGCCCAGGAGCTTACCACCAAAACCAAACAAAGTATGTCCCCTAATAGAGGCGAGGAAACTATCAGAATAGAGCAGCTTGCAAAGACCACCACAGAATTGCAACAGCATATAACAGACACAAAACTACACCTAACTACAGACGTGCAAGAATTAAAAAAAGAAGTTCTTACGATATCACAAAACATCAAAAGTCTAGCTGCAATCTGCTCAAGCTCCTCATTTCCATCAGTTCAAGCCAGCTTGGAAGAACTCAGGAAAGATACAAAAGAGCTTAGAGATACTGCACTTGATTCAACGGCACCACAAAGGGTAGCCATTGAGAGCCTCAGGACTGAACTCAAACAAAGAACAGATATTGAAGGAACAGAGCTAAGAGGCTTCTCACACCCGCCCGGAGAAAATGATACTGAGTGATATCAGCACACACTAATGCTTCAACAGAAAAAATTTCGTTTTCGACTTGACGGATGGGAAGATCGTAGAGGCCGTGATGAAACAAAACGCTACACTTCTAAACGACATCCCAGCATCACAAAACCACATAAAAGTAATCAGGAGAACAAAGGGTCGCACAAGTTCCACGTGCAATGTCATCCTAGAGGTAAGCCCACAAATCTGGACGAGACTGCAAAACCAAAAATAGGCTTTCAAATAGTACCAGCCACAGACCAATCACCGGTAATACAGTGTTATCGATGCCTAGGTTATTCTCATCTAGCGCGACAATGCCAAGTTCAGAAAATCACATGTGGGTACTGTGCTGAATCGCATGACACAAGGGAGTGCTGCAATAAAAACAAAGTACCTAAGTGTATAAATTGCACGGATAGAAAGGAAACTAATGCCAACTGTGCCCATCCCGCTTATAGCCCGGAATGCCCGGAGTGGCGTAAATGGGACCGGATTGCCCGAGCAACTATTTCATACTGCTAAAGGCACTGAAGTCTTCTCACAAAAGCATTCAAGGGCTATAAAAATTGCACAAGTCAACCTTGGCAGAAGATACGCAGCGTTACAGGAATGCCTAAAAACGGCGGAATCGCAAGGAATAGCAATAATCCTAGTACAGGAACCTTACGTAGGTGCTAAGGCACATGTTACTTGTAGGCACAGAGTTATCCAAAAGCAAACTAATGACACTCAAAAACCCGTCAAATCGGCGGTCATTGTCGTTGATTCGTCCGTACAGTACACTGTAAATCCTGATATTATTACAGAAAATATTGATGCATGTAAATTTAAAATATGTAACCACTATGTTGCGATTATTAACATATACATGGAAGAGGCTCAAGACGTCGAACAAGACCTAAGAATAATTTCCAACTACAGAAACATTCTAGACTCTGAAAATATAATCATTGGAGGAGACCTTAACGCAAAGAGTCCCTGGTGGGGTTGCGATGTGGAGGACAGACGGGGAACAGCTATATCGGAATCATTTGCACAGCTGGAACTACATATATTGAACACAGGGAAAACACCAACCTTCTGGGCACATAGAGGAAATAGAGATTATACCAGCATCGTCGATGTTACTGCATGTTCAAATGGTCTACTAAATAAATAAACGAAAAAGAAGGAAAATTAAACATGCCAACCAGAACAGAAGACAATCAGTGATTGAAAATTATATAACTGCCAAAGCAGAATACAAAAATCTCCTGACTGACACTCTCACTTCAAGCTGGAAAGACTTCTGTAAAAAAACAAGACCGTGAAAATTTGTGGCAAGGGATATACAGGATCATAAGGAAATCGAGCAGAACTTCAGAGGATACATTGTTACGAGAAACGACAACTAGTAAGATAATGACCCCGGAACGGTCTGCTAAAATTTTATCTGAAACTTTTTACCCATACGACGATATCGAAACGGATGAACAACCACACTCAGAGATGCGACAAAAGGCTGAAACAATCAAGAAAAAATGGGCGAAGGTCAACAAAGAAGATACCACAAAACCATTTACAAACACTGTGGTAGAATTTATTCTTCAATCAATGAGCCCTCGGAAATCGCCAGGAGAAGACAGTCTTACAGCCGACATATGTTACAAAGCTTATGCGGCTTTTCCACAGACACTCTTGACAATTTACAACAAATGCCTTGCACTTGGACACTTTCCAAAAACCTGGAAAAGCGCAATAATTAAAGTCATCCCAAAGCCTAATAACGAGAACTACACACTTCCAAAATCATATCGGCCAATAGGACTCTTACCTGTACTGGGAAAAGGGCTTGAAAAACTATTCGTTAATCGAATGAGCTGGCAGATCGGCTCAGAAAATAAAATGAGCGGTAGGCAATACGGGTTTGTCTCACAGAGAGGGATGCCCTATGCGATGCCCTTGAGGTTCAGGCAGGGTTTAAAAAACAGTGAAATTGTTGTGATTGTCTCCATTGACATTGAAGGAGCTTTCGATAACGCTTGGTGGCCCGCAATGATTAATGAGCTTGATAAGAAAAAGGTTGACAAATCTGTATGTACGCTAATCGGAAGTTATCTCACAGATAGACAAATAAAATTAACATATGCAGGTAGTGAGATAATAAAACAAACCTACAAAGGATGCATACAAGGATCTACTTGCGGACCTCTGCTGTGGAACCTGCAACTTGACCCATTACTAAGGGAGGTAGAAGAACTAGGGACCCACATACAAGCGTATGCAGATGACGTATTGGTCATTGCGAAAGGGAAAGTAGTAAAAGACCTAGAACAAGAACTTAATACAGCACTTGATCACATCCTTGCTTGGGCTAAAACTAGGAAGATGAGACTGGCGGCTCAGAAGACGCAAGCCATCCTACTAACTAGGAAATTAAAATATGAAACTCCATCGTTATCCCTCGATAATAAAGCAATAACGTTCTCTAACAGCATAACAATCCTCGGACTCACGATAGACGCTAACCTCAACTTTGTAAAGCACGTAGACGTAGTAACGGAAAAGGCAATTCAACTTTATAAAAAGGTCTCAAGAACGGCACGAGCCAATTGGGGTCTTAATTCTGAAATTCTAAGAACAATATATATAACAGTGGTCGAACCAACAGTCTTATATGCTGCGGGGGCATGGGGCACAACGGCCAATAAAAAGCAAATAAAAACAAGACTTGACAGAATCACCAGAATTTTTGCAATAATGGTTAGCAAAGCACACCGCACAGCATCTTTGATATCATGCACAACACTAGCCCGAATCATCCCATTAGATTTAAGAGCCCAAGAAAATGCTGAGATCTACATGATAAAGAGAGGCAAACCCATTGCGCACTTACCTGGCAGAACACTAGCGAAACCAATAAGCCCTTACACGCTACCACACCCAGCAGACAGGACAAGACAACGGTTTGAACTGATAACATCTGAAAATGAAATAAAGGCTATTGGAAACGACTGGCCGTGCATATACACCGATGGCAGCAAAATCGCAGGTAAAGTAGGCGCTGCCATTACTTGTTGGGAGAATGGTAGAGAAATCCACAAGACCAAATTAAGACTCGGAAGCCACTGCAGTGTCTACCAAGCGGAACTTGCTGCCATCTTAAAAGCCACCGAAATAATGCTGCGTAGACACACTCTTAAGAAAGCAAATATCCTGAGTGATTCACGATCAGCTCTAGAATGCCTAACAAATCCTAACACCTTACACCCCATAGCAGCGGAAATTCTAGATCGCATCATGGAAATAGAAAGGCAACAGGGAAGAGTGAGCCTATTTTGGATCAAAGCTCACTGCGGCATCCAGGGGAATGAAAGGGCTGACGAATTAGCTAAGTCGGCAGCGGAAACATCAAAACAGACACCGGTATACGATTGCTTCCCTCTGTCCTTCGCAAAGCGCCACATTAGGGACAACGCTTTGCTTATCTTGCAAGAACAGTACACAACATCAGACACAGGTAGAGTCACAAAGAAGTTCTTCCCAAACGTGACCCAGGCGTATAAAACAATTAAGAAGATTGCAGTCAGTAACCTGAGGTGTCAAATTTTCACGGGACATGGGGGTTTTAAAGCATATTTACATAGATTTAAGTTAGCGCAGAGCCCATACTGTGATTGTGACCACCTAACACCACAGACCACAGAACACATTCTCATAGATTGCCCTAAACACGCAGTTTTAAGACTCTGTTGCGAACACCACATGGGATTTGCGCTGAGAGAAAACACTCTCTGTAGGGCAGTCAACGACAATGACAGTCGAACTCATTTCCTTGAATTTGCCGAAAGGTGTCTGAGGAAAGTATTACAAGGAAATGGGTCCAAGATATATTAGCCTTAAGAAAATATAGTTGTAATAACAATAGTTATAAGTAGGCAATAGTAACACTTAATCACAAAAGATGTAGATAAAAGCTTAGGCTTGATAACTATAGCACTTCATACTGATGATTTTAAATTAAGACAATAAGAATAATACTGATTAACAGTGGTTATGAAAACTAGAAATACTCTGGAGAAGTATTTCTGGTTTTCATAACTACTGTTAATTCATAATACTGTTGATTTAAGTAGACAAAAGTTAGTTAGTAATTAAGAACATCTAACATAATATAGTCAGTCACTGATATTGTATAGCAAGCATGTGGTAAAAAATATTTAGACGGAGGAAAAAAAATGTAAAACTAGAAAGTAGCTTCATTAATCATCAGCTAGGAAAATAAGAAATTGTTATCCAAATAGAATATTTAGAAGTAATAGAAGTGTTTAGAAGCAAATAATAGAAATAAGTGGCAAATAGAGTAAAGAAACCATGTACTATAAAAAAAATTATAATTAAAAAAAATAATTAAAAAAAAATATCAAAACTGATAGAATAAAATGTAAAAGATATAAAAGGTGCTGTAAAAGAAATAACAGCAGATGAAATGAGTAATAAATAAAAAAAAAACCTAACCTAACCTAACCTAACCTTCTTTTTTTTACATGGGGAAATGCCTACGTATACCCGCCTCGCGGGGGCAAGGACGGGTTATGTCGGACTCGCACCGACTAAAACCCCATGGTGTTCCACCTTCGTCGCATATTGGCAGGGCCACGGGAACGCTTTCGCACACATCCGCAGCCCCACCTGCGCTGGCCGCCTGCGCCTGCGTGTATCGCCTCAGGGGCGCGCGCCGACACCGGCACGCACCTCCGCCTCGGGTCCATCGAGTAGGGGTGGCGGGGAGCTTCCCCAAGTCCCTCGCCCCTGGAACCATTTATGGGGGCCGGAAAAGGGCGTTGTCCGCCCTTCTCCTGCGCCCGGTGCGCCTTCTGCGGCCAGGGAAGGGAGTCGAGATCTCCCTTTCCCGTTCCGCAGTTTCCTTCTGCGACATCACATCCTCGCAGAAGGACACCACCGCATCCCACGACTCTGCGCTACCGACCATCTTCCGCACTAAGGCCGGCAGCGACAGATCGCCTCCTACTTTATTTGTGAGGACACGGCGCTGCTCCTCCCAAGCTACACACTCGGCGAGCGTGTGTTGCGCCGTGTCCTCCCCGCAATGGACGCAGTGGTGGCACCGAACGTCCGGCTCCCTGTCTATGCGGCGCAGGTACTTGCCGAAGCAGCCATGCCCCGACAGCACTTGCGTCACCCTAAACGACAGGGAGCCGTGCCTTCTCCCGAGCCAGTCGTCGAGTACTGGCCGGATCGCCTCGACGGTAGCGAGGCCGGCGGTAGGGCGCAGAAGCCTTTGCCGCCATTCCGCCACCAAGATCTGACGGAGCTCCTCTCGACGCAGCGCGATCTGCCGCTGCACCGGCCTCGAGCCCCGTGCCCGCTCTTCCTCGCGCCATTGATATAATGACGCGAGTACTTTCGTCTCTAGGTCCCAGGGCGGGGATCCGGCCAGGACGCAAGCCGCCTCGTAGGAAATCGTGCGATACCCGCGGACGACTCTGACGGCCATCGCCCTCTGCGGTTTACGCAGAATGGCGAGAGTGCTGGCCGTCATGTCCATTGCCCACACAGGGGCCCCATACAGGGCCATGGACCGCACGATTCCCACGTACAACCGCCTACAGGCGGCGCTCGGGCCCCCCAAGTTGGGAAGCAACGTTGATAGCGCGCCCGCTGAACCCATGAGCTTGGGCGCCAGCCGCCGGAAGTGGGGACCGAATTCCCATCGGCTGTCGAGCACCAATCCCAGATACTTCATGGTGGACTCGACAGCTATCCGGGCCCCGCTGACCACGATGTGTGAATCCGGCGGCGGCGCGCGTCGAGGGCCATGGAACACCATGGCCTCCGACTTACTTAGGGCCACCTCCAGGCCCAGGCGCCGGATGCGGTTCACCATTTGTGACACCGCAGCCGTGGCAACCAACGCTGCTTCCCTGTGCGAACTCCCCCGGGCAGTGACGAGCGTGTCGTCCGCATAACACGTCAAGTCGGCGCCCGACGGGAGTTCACCTCTCAGCACCCAGTCGTAGCCGATGTTCCACAGGAGCGGTCCCAAGACCGATCCCTGCGGAACACCGCACGACATGACGCGCCGACCAGCGCCGTCAAGTCCCCAATAGGTAACGCATCTCTCTCAAGGTAAGCCCCTATTGTGCGGCGGAGGTAGGG